GATAATATTTCCGGCAAAGACATGGGAGACCGAAACCGGCGAGACAACAATCTCGTGGATCAATGATTAGGGCGTTTAACTCTGATCACGAAGGTCGCTAGTTCGAGGCTCGAGTAGGGCACCACTTGGGTCTGGAAAGGAATGGCTTACCGCTGTCTCTGATCTTTGTGGACATTAATATCTGTCTATACTATCAACTGTACGGCTGTCAGGGCCTCTGGCGAGGCCCATGGCAGAGCGGCACAAAAAAGTTCCGTTAGCGTTCAGGTGAACGTTAATCAACAAGTAAATTCTCTTTTGTGCAGACGATGGGTTTGATGCATAATTAGAACAACAAATTGGAGGTGGGAAGGAAGATAAACCAGAGTACCCCTGGTTGGGCGTCCAAAGTTAAGACTTAGAGGAAATGCCTTCGGATAAGACCATCAAGAGGCAGCCATGCTGCGGTAGAAATCAAAATCAGCCGACAATATCAGTGGCAGCAAGATATCAAGAAACTGAAAGCAGGAAATTCTTATAAAAATCATGGCAAACGCGACCAACGAGGAGTGTACTAACGGTTTCTCGATGACAATATATCATTAATATTTTATATGCATAAAAATTCGCGGTCCAGATATCACATCGCGTTCATCACATCCCGAAGAGGAAGAAGAGGCGACCACTTCTTGAACGGAATTATATTTATACTGACGATCAGTCCACCGTCTGAGGAGGGCGAGGCCGACGTGTACGCTAACGTAACGTCAACCACGTCAGCCGTGACTGGGACGCAGGAGACGGGAGCCCGCCAGTTGTCGATTGTGAAGAGGCCACGACCAACCAACGGCCAACGGGCGTATGAACGCATGTGTATTCGGCCCGAGAACTTGCCCCCTCTTTTTCTTCCGCTTCGGGAGATAATTAACACGATCTTTTTTTCTGTGTATACTTCCTTAATAAGCTTCCTATTTAAGGAGGAGTTTCATTCAGTTGTTCTAAATACACTCGTTCGAGAGCACCACCAAATTTCTACTACAAAAGAGACACATCCATAAGAAATCGTATTGACCAGAATAAAGGACATAATGAAAAAGACGACGCATGTACATTTTATAAACTTTGGTATTTCAAGTACTCCTTCTTGCCCTACAAATATATTAAACGCTATTGCGTAATAAGAGCTGGCTGACGCCTAGGTGTAGAAAATACGGCACTCACATGGGCGCTGACGCCTTTCGCAGCAGCACTTAACGCTACCTGCAAATGAGATCGATACGACAAGAAATTTGTCCACCAGAGGTTTCAATTTCCAGTTCGAACCTCTACAACTCACAACTGACTTCAGGGCCTTTTAACGAAAGAAGACTCGATTGTCTACGTTAAATCTTACTCGAAAGTTTAAGGCAATCCTCAACCGGACTAACTGACAGACGTGACTATCAATCAAAAAAGTAATCTTGCATTTACAACCTAAAGTGTGTAGTTATAAGGGATTTTTTTTTGTCCTTTGGAAACAACCATCCGAGTTCGCGGGCAATGGAAGAAAAGTACAAGTTTGTACGTAGGGGTAACCAAGTACATACCCCCAGCACCCGTTTGAGTAAGCACTGAATCTCCCCGCCCTCTATCCGATGATTGCATTCCCTGACGTCGTTTAGCCGCAGACTGGGTACCGGCTGACTTTAGATCGGCGAGAGAAGTGGAGCGTTTTACTGGCGTCCAGCCGAATCGATTGGTACCTGTGGCAGCGTCAGTACTGTTGTTGGAAGCCCCGTCGGTCTGGAGGGCTGTGTCGCCAAAGGACTTGGGCCCAACTGAGACACCCGAGTCGACATATGGTGGCTTGGGAAAGTTTGTTGGCGTGGTTCCAGCGTCCACGCAGGTGCAACCGCCAAAACCACTGTCGGTT